CCATCCCAACCCTCAGGGACTCTATCCTCACAGAGAGTCTTGAGTGAGTCTCAAATGCAAGCATGCCCCCACACCCAACATTGGAAAGGTTTGTAGTCCCTGCTTCTATGTACTCTGATGCCTATGACATGGATCCAGTTGTACATGTACAGCTCTCCTGGTGAAGGGGAGATGTCCACTCTTTCTTCCATGGTGTCCTATCTTTCACAGACAAGGTCTCAGCCATCCCATAGGTCTCAGGCCTTAGACCCTGTGCTGGTCCAGTCGTAAGTCTGTTCTGGCTGAGCAGCCAGTGCTCTTAATTGCTGATTGCTGAGTCCTCTCTCTCTCTCTCTCTCTCTCTCTCTCTCTCTCTCTCTCTCTCTCTCAGACTTGGTCTCATAGCCCTGGCTTGCCTCAAACTTATTACAGAGATCTATCTGCTCTGCCTCCTGAGTGCCAGGATTTAAGGTGTTCACCACCACGTCTGCCTTGATCTCTGATCCATGTCAAGTGTTCCATTGATTTCTGTGGGGAAAGTATTCCTGTTTCCTAGTTTATCTCAGCGTGCATGATTGGCTGCTGGATTCTCAGGAGAGAGGCCTTCTAGATTGCCAGGAGACTCCAAAGTTCTCTCCCTCCTCAAACTACCTCACACTTTTGACCAGAAGGATGGCAGATTCGGGGTCGTTTACTTTCAGTGACTGGAGGCCGTAAGCTTCTGTTTCTTTCATAATCTTTAGTTTGAAGACTTTCTCACAGGGGATTTTTAGTTAAAGGTTTTGAGAAAAGCATCATCGCTGGTGATTTCAGTGCAGTGCGGGAGTTCAGACACAGGAAGAACCAGAGGAGCCAAAGTAGGAAGATACAGATTTTTGAGGAAGCAATGTCTGGGAAAATTTTAAATGGTACTCAGTACATTTTCAGCCACACAACATGCATAACCAGAAGCATTTTCAGTGCTTGTAATAAGATGAGAACTTCTCAAATAAAATCTGAAAGATGAAATAGAAAAGGTTTTGAATAAAAAGCATTTGGGAGTCATGAAGTAATAAATCTAAAATGTGGTAAACAAAAATATATTCTTCAGGCACAATGGAATGAAATAAGAAGCCAATAGCAGGAGAAAGTGTGGAAAAATCACAAATGTGTGAATATTAAACCATGTATTCCTTTGGGGAAATTGGGGTACACTTTGAGATGAGTGAAAGCAAAAGCACAACCGGAGTCCCTGCAGCCTTTCTAAATCAGCTCTCCAAAGGAAATGATGGCTGCAAACCCTGCACACGGGGAGGAAGCTAGCAAGGCATCTCAGTGCTTGTCAAATACCTGCATACGGGGAGGAAGCTAGCAAGGCATCTCAGTGCCTGTCAAATCCCTGCACACAGGGAGGAAGCTAGCATGGCATCTCATCTGTCATGTTAAACTTCCAGAGGAAATATGTGATTAGATAGAGATCAAGCAGCATAGAAAATGCCAAGAGGGATGATTAACTCATGACAGATACAATTCTGAACGTATTATATAGCTAATAGCATATACCCAGTCTGTGTGAAGCAAATGTTAATCAAAGTTTGGAGAAACTTGAGCAAATATAGAATCACAATGCAAAATTGTCACACAGTAGTCTCTAAAACTAAAGGTCAAGTAGATAGCAATTTTATATGAGTGGAAAAGATTTAGCTACATAATTAATAAGGTTAATGCAATGGTAATTAAGGCTAAACAAGTGAAGAGATCTCAGTGGCTTCCCACAGGGGAAAGCCTAGCCCCGCGTGGCTTCAACAGTAAATCCTACCAAATGTTTAAATCTTTATTGTGTCCTTCCCAAACCAGAAGAGGGATGTGATGACTATTCTTAGTTGCCAACTTAACTACACTGGAATTAACTAAAACCAAAATGGCCGGATGTGAGAGTTTTTTTTTTTCTTAATTGGGTCATTTGAAGTGGGCAGATCTACTTCTAATCTGGATCTTTGCAGTAAGAAGACAGACCTTTAACCTAGAGCTTTAGAGGTGAGGAGTCCCACTTCTAATCTGAGCTACACCTTCTGCTGGGAGCCTACACAAAGGACATGGAAGAGGGAAGCCCTTTCTCTTTGCTTGCTTCCTCCCACCCTCAAAACAAGGTTCATTCCATCACTGGCATTAGAGTCTACTTCCTCAAGATTCTGGTGCGTACTGAAGACCAGCTGAGACATCCAGTTTCCAGTACTGAATAACTACTGGACTCCTGAGCCTTCTGTACATAGGCAGCCATTGTTGGATTAGCTGGATCACAGCCTGTAAATTATCTAATAAATCCCGTGTCTGTGTGTGTGTGTGTGTGTGTGTGTGTGTGTAGAAAGACAGACAGATAAACAGATAAAGCCATTCTATAAGTTCTGTTACTATAAAAAAAAAATCCCAAAGAATACATAGGAACACTTCCTAACTTGCTCTATGATACCAGTATTGCCCCAATATCACATCAAACAAATGCAACCCAAATATGTTACAGGCTAGGTGTAAAAATCCTCAGTAAAATATTAACAAATCGAAGCCAGAAACACAGATGTGCTGGCTAGTTTTATGTCAACATGACACAAGCTGAAGTCATCCGAGAGGAGGAAGCTTCAGTTGAGAAAATACCCCCAGAAGACAGGGCTGTAGGCAATCCTGTAGGGCATTTTCTTAATTAGTGATTGATTTGGGAGGGCCCAGTTGTGGGTGGTGCCAGGGGGTAGTGGTCCTGGGTTCTCTAAGAAACTAGGCTGAGTAAGCCATAATGGGCCAGTAAGCAGCACCCCTCCATGGCCTCTGCCTCAGCTCCTGCCTCCAGGTTCCAGCCCTGTTTGAATTCCTGTCCTGACTTCCTTCAGTAAAGGACTTTGATGTGAAAGTGTAAGCCAAATAAACCCTTTCCTCCCAAACTTGCTTTTGGTCACGGTGTTTCATCATAGCTGTAGGGCAAAGGAGAAAGGGCTATATACTAGACCCAGAGATAGAAGTTTGGTTCAAAATTCAAACACCAACCAATGCAATACAAGAGGTACAGAAAAGTCATCTGGTAAAAGTCCACAGCCTTCATGATGAAAACAGTCTCTGGACTAGAAAAACTACCAGTCTGCCCCCATACCAACCCCACCACCACCTTCAACCTGCCAAAAGCTGTCTGAAAGATGCCCAGGCAACTTGCATTTGTCTGTGAAAAATTCCACAGGTGACTTGCCAAGGAAAGAGCCTGATGTCCAGGACAAGTCAGGGGCAGCCACTCTTGCTTCTCCTGTTCAACCTAGGGCAGGACAGGACGCTCCAGGCCAGGCAAAAGGTGAGGGGAGGAGATAAAAGACAGCCAGTCTGAAATGCAAATACCTCCATTCACAGAGGATTATCTATCTATAGACAGCCCTAGAGAATCCACAGAAAAACTGCATTACAAATTCAGCAAAGATTTGCAGTGCAAGATGCATGTAGAAAATGTTATGATGTCTATCTTCTGGCTTCTCACCCAGATGAGTTTCCAACATGAACAAACGTGCACGGGGGGGGGGGGGGGGGGGGGGGGGGGGGGGGGGGGGGGGGGCACGAGGGGAGGATGGGGGAGGGGATTTCAGAGACTTCACACATCACAGCAGATTTAAGCACCCCTGTTTCCCTCAAGACACATCCACATTCAGATAGCAGCTAGACTGAGAGCTTTGTATGCAGTAGACGTTATTTACCTGCTATTTTTCCCCTCAGGAAAGAGGTGGAAAGAACAGTTTTGAAGTGGCTAAGATAAAGAATACCAGGCTATCAGAAGTCTTTCTTCTGGCTCTGAGCCTTGTGATTATGGATGAGTGTTTACCTTGCCTGATCCTGCATCTTCTTATCTGTAACAAGAGGGAAACATAGGAAATGATAGCCAGGCTGCCTACCACCTCTAATGCTGTCCCTTGGGCTTAACTCTGTGCTAGTCTTCTCTTGACAAATGCTCCCTTCTCCCAGCCACCTGGGAAAGGCAAAGGCCAGAGCGGGCAGATGCTGAATGGTCATGAGAAGAAAGAGAAACAGGAGCATGACACCACGTCACTCGCACCAGTTGCTCTTGAGGAATATTGGTTTAAGATGTGTTCCATCCTTTTATGCTGTGGGACATTAGTTTAATGATGCAAAGATGTGCTGCATTCTTTAATGTTGCCTTTGTTTAACTCTACGAAGCTGTGTTACTTTGCCTGTCTAAATCACCTGATTGGTCTAATAAACAGGTGAACGGCCAATAGCTGGGCAGGAGAGGGATAGATGGGGCTGGCAGGCAGAAAGAATAAATAGGAAGAGAAATCTGGGAGGAGAAATCAAGGAGTGAGAGAAGAAGGAGAACCCCAGGGGTCAGCCACCAAGCTACACAGCAAGCCACAGAATAAGGAGTAAAGAAAGATATACGTAAATAGAGAAAGATAAAAGCCCAGAGGCAAAAGATAGATGGGATAATTTAAATTAAGAAAAGCTGGCTAGAAATGAGCCAAGCTAAGGCCAGACATTCATAAGAAAGAATGACTTGTATAATCTATCTGGGAGCAGGGTGGCAGGCCCCCCAAAAGAGCCAAAAAGCTAAAGACAAAAACAAACAAACAAATAAACTACAAGTTGCTGCTTCAGCCAGTGAGGGATTTGGGTGAAAAACAGGGTTATAATTAGAGTAGGAACCTGGCTGCTCCCCACTCCACCCCACCCCCTCCCTCACCCCCCCAACACAGCTGGACCTGCCCACGGCACACACAGGATCGTGGCTGTGCTGGACTTGCACTGGCTCTTCTTCCAAAGACTTTCCTCCTTGCTCTGGTAAAAGAAAGTCCATTGCTACAAAGATCCACTTCTCCTGGGCTCTGTTCTGCCCTGCTAGCCCTTAGACACCGAGTGTTGATAACCTACAGGCGAAGGAAGTCGTAAGCTGAGCCTGGTCACATTGCCCTTGTGATATAGTTTTATTTTTAACTTTGAAACACTTGAACTATGTCAGTTGACGTTTTCCCCCTTTCACTGGCCTTTGCAGCAGAGCTCGGGACTTCTGCAGCAGCAGAGGCATCAGCAGCCACCTCCTTGAGACCTCCTTGTTCACCATCTAAGAGCACGTTAGCTACAGATGCTGAGCCGGCTTGGACCACTTCGGTAAGATTTTCAAACGTGGGCAGGTGCCTCCCAGATCATTCCTTGTGCCCTGGAGACGGGTTGTTAAACAAACTTCGGTACGTGTGGGTGATGAGGGAAAGGCTGGTACTAGAAATCCTCAGCCGTGTGTAAACTGTTTTGGATTTAAAATCCTACAGCAGCTTGCGGTGTCAGCAGCCCTCTGCCGGCTTAGGCCGGCTCTTCCTTAACCAACCAGACCGTTCAGTATTTCCTTGGTTACAGAGCGGCGAGAGGGTAGGGCAGAGTGTGGTAAGGAAAGAAGTGGAGACCCAGAGTTAGTTCAAATGCTGCAACATTTTCTCCGACCATCTTTGCTGCTCTAACTGCAAGTCATCGCCACCAGGCTTACATTCCATCGACTGTGGCGCACGGCGCGCTAACGGACCGCAGCTGTATTCCACTGTTCTCGCTTCTCACACTCTGCCTGCCAGCTGAAACCCGGTGGTTTTGCCTAACAAAGCTGCGACTTCTCTCCTGCACACTCTTTTTTTTTTTTTTTTTGATTTTTTTTTAATCCAAAACGCAGCCATGAAAGGGACAGTGTTCTGTAAGCTGAGAATCCTACACAGACTTATGTGCCTGAACTCACAGCGGTGACTGACTTGAATGTGCACTCAGAAGAGCAGAAGCGAGGTGATGAGAACCATCTAGGCTCTTAAAAGCTAGGAAGGCAGATAAATCACTCCTAGCTCCTGAAATAACTATACCGTTGTGTGTGAGAAAAAACGTTGGCAGTAGCCAGGGGGCCCTGTTTATTTTCTTCTATTTCTTCAGTTCAGAGTTCAACTGAGGACAACCTGGGAAGTGACCTGAGCAGAAAGGGATCTGGGGTGCTTGGGTTCAAGCCACCAATGCTGAGTCAAAGGAGATCAAAAGCCACTACTCGGATGCCCTAACTTCTGGCTCCATCTGTATCCCCAAGTCTGTAGAGCAGTCTATGTTAGGATCGTACCTATTTGCTTAGGACAACCAGCTCACTGTGGCCTTGTTTAAAAGCACTTAATTTTGCCAGGGTTCCCATGGCACCGAGGCAGGAGTGTATGTTGGGCTGCTGTCCTCAAGAGACTTGGGTGTAGTAGCTTAGAAGTCTTCAAGGGAAGAACCTACCGGTTCTCCACCTCCCCCCCCCCCCCCCCCCCCCGCAGTTAAGTATCGACTATGAGAATTAAACGCTAATAGTAAAATACTTTGGAGTGACTTCTAGAGATGAAGGCTGTCAATTGCAAAACAGACAGGATCTGAGGAAGCTCATTATATTTTAGTGTGTGGTGAAGTTGTTGGAAATATAGTCCAGAAAACCGTGGACCTTGTGTGGGATTTAGCCATAGATACCTAGATGAGTTAAAACTTCAAGGGACGGAGAGATGAATTGAATGGTTAACTTTACACATTTTCCTTCTCTTGAGTGAAATATCTCCACGTCAGGGAAGTGGATGAACAAGGGATTGCTATGTGACTGGTTGGCGAGTGGTTAGGAGTTAAGGAATACGTTTGATCTTTGCCTTTTATCCTTCCGACTTTCACTGAGGTTCGAGGTCAGAAATCAGTCGTCATTTTGAGGGCTGGCCACAGGAGGACCCAGAAGAGCCACAGCATGTAGGATGGCCGCTGAAAGGGCCACTTGCCTAAAAATACCTTCCTGAAATCAAACCCCTTTGTCACTAACTTTAAAACCATAGCAAAACGTGTGAAAATTAGTGTTAATCCCATTCTGGCTCGCTTGATATAAATGCAGCTGCTATATGTGCCCTTATTGTGACGTTGTGGTCCCCGTCTCCTCCAATCCTACTTTGCCCTCTGCACCATCTAAGCTCTTGGCACACGGCGGCCATCTCCACTCGGGTGCTGGCTGTGTGGTGCTGGGGTTTCTACAGACTTAATGGCATATCTGGGTGTAGTGAGAGCAGAACGTGTGACTAAAAGCACAGTGTGTCAGAGCACAGGCTAGACACAATCCACCTCAGAGCCTCAGGTTCTCCTCTGAAAACTGAAGAGGGAAACCTTGGACCATCAGCATTGCCTGGAGCTTTATAAGAAAATTCCAGGCTTCCCTCCAGCCCACTGAACCACAGTCTGTTAAAAGACTGTTCTAGAGAATGGTATATGCCATGAAGTCAGACAAGCCCTGGAAAAGGGGGTTCCTGGTTTTCTGCCTGGTATGGAAGTGTCTGGTTATACAGCTGCAGGGGTTCCAAAGAATAAGGCCTGGTAAAAATTCTGGCAGTGCTCAGCCTGTGTGTTCCAAGTCAGGCCCACTCACTCAGTGCAGGTTTCATTTACCATAAGAGGTTGAAAAGCTTTCTTCTCCTGCCCCTCTCCTCTTTAATAAAAGACCTTAAAGTGACAAATATCCACCATCACTATAGTTTCCCCCTAAATTTGCTTCAATTTCAATTCAGGGCTTTCTTAGAATGCCACTTACTTTTAGGTTCTTTCTGGTGTGCTACAATTCAGTCCTATTCCATAAACATCAGTTGAGGAGGCCACACAGCCATCACTTTACTAGACCAGCATAATCACTAACTACATCCTAAAGACAGAACTACCCAAGTACACATGCTACTACTACACCCTAAGGGTTATCATGCCATGCTGGTCATTATTGTGGTTCATCGGCACCGTAGTATTCCATAGTGTAATGTACCACATTATCATTCTCCAGTTGTCAGCTCAAGGACATCTAGGTTGTTTCCATTTCTTAGCTTTTGTGACTGGAGTAGCGATGAACATGGGTGAGCAAGTGTTTGTGGAGTAAGATGTCAGTTCCTTGGCCATTCACTAAGAAGTATAGCTGGGTCGTATGGTAGATTTATACCGTTTTTGAAGATTCTCCACACTGATTTTCAGAGTGGCTGCAATCCCACCAGCAGCTGACGAGGGTTCTCCTTTCCCTACGTCTTCCCCAGCATTTGTGTTAGTTATTCTGTTGGTCTTTGGTGTCCTGACTGGGATCGGATGAAATCTCAGAGTTGTTTGATTTGCATTCCCGTAACTGTTAAGGGTAGCGGGCGTTTTCTTAATGAATAGGTCAATATGAATAAGCTCTAAAAGCTGTAAACTTCAGCCTAGGAAAGAGAGAGAGGTCCTTGAGTTAACTCTGTGACTTCTAAGTACCTGATCTTCTTTCTGATGACAATGGGAGACCCTAGACACAACACATCAAAGGCATGAGTGTACTGTCTGCATCCTTCAATACTTAAGGAATGTTTTGTGGTGACCTATGAGGGAGAGGATGTGAATTTCTATTCTTTAAAAAGCTAAGTAAGATTAAGTGGGGTTTAAGGATTATTAAGGCACCCTCGGTCTGTAAGACATTGGAGCAAGGAGGTCCTACAAAATGAATGAGTAGCCAAGAGCTACAGAGATGATGCAATGAGCAAAAAATAACCTTCTCATTCATGATGGATTAAAAAGGTGACCCGGGCATTAGAGTGGCCAAAAGAAATATCAAACGAGGATCAGGTCTGGAACCCTGGAGAATGAAGAAGGGAAGGGGGTGTGATTTTATGTTTTAAGACACTTCTTCATTTTGTCTCGGATTACCTCCTCGGGTTCTGTGGGGTGCTGAGATCCACTTGTTGGATAAATAGAGTAACCTTGGGAATATCAGATAAGCACCTAGGTAACTAGGGGAGCACTAACTGGTTTGTCTGGCACTAGAGCTGTTACCTAAGCTTCTCTGCAAAGGTGACATATTCACTGAAGTACAAACACCAGGAAGGGGCTCATGATACAAGTGGGGATGATGGGAGCATGGTCCTGGTAGAAAGAACAAAGGTGGTCCCTTGCTAGAATCAGTGACAAGCCAAAGCAAAAGGTGCAAGATCAAAGGTGAGGTGAAAGGGTCAGAGACAGTTCATTCAGAGGCTTGTCAGCCACAGAGATAGCTTGGCACTTTCTGCCTTGTCTTGGAATGACTGAAGGCATTGAGCAGAGGAGTGATGGCATCGTGTTATAGGTTGTTCAAGTCATTATTTCTGCCGGGAACTCTGGATCATGGGATGCAAGAAAGAGAAGTGACCCCGATTATATAGCCATGGTGTTAGAGCAGGTAAGGATCACAGACTTTGGCAGTGGTGCTAGACACAGAGGCGAACAGAGTGCCCACCGCCTTTCTAGGGCTTTCATGAAAACCCTTCACCTAGCAGGCCAGCCTGGGCAACATTGCAAGACTATCCCAAGAAGGAAAATATAAGCCTTTCTGCTTATTTCCACCCACTCAGCAGTGGCTCCCTTGTCTTTTAAGCACTGTATTAAACTACCTATAATTCAATGCTTATCAATTTGAACTTCTATAAATTTAGTGAGAATAAGTAGGTCTGATTCAGTAGATTTGGGGTTGAAACTCAAAAAAGACTTCTAAGGAGTTCACAGACAATGCTGCTGCTTCTGCTGCGGGGACCTCTCCTTAAAAGCCTGAAGAGCCCCTGCTCTACTTCCTTTGCCTTGGCTTAGCAACTTTGTCACTTTCTAAGGGATCTATAGAATGCCACCACCAGCATCTGGTTAAATTACTGTGCCCGACCCCACCAGCCAGGTACTATCTATCTATCTATCTATCTATCATCTATCTATCTATCTATCTACCTACCTATCAGCTATTTATCTATCTATCATCTACCTATGTCTATATATCTATAGCAATCTACCTATCTACTTATCATCAATCTATACTCTTTATCTATCTATGTCTATATCTGTCTATATCCATCTATATCTGCCTATCTATATACCTATCATCTATTATCTATGTCTATCTATAGCTATATCTACCTATCATCTATCTATATCATCTAACAATCATCTATCTATCATCTGTCTATATTTCATCTATCTATACCTATCATCTATCATATATTTATCTATCAACTATCTTAGATAGGGTCTCTCTTTTTAGCTTTTATTGTCCTAGAACTCCCTCCATATATAAACCAGGCTGATCTCAAACTCACAGAGATCCACCTGCTTCTGCCTCCTGA